GATCCGATGCTTAAAAACAGGAAATAAATATCAATGCTTGAGTGCAAATTTAACATTTACCTCATTGCAAAAGTTTCCCAGCCCTATAACAGTTTTTGTAAGTATGTTTTCTTACAGTGGCCTCAAAACCCATCTCATTATACACAAACACTTCCTGGGGGACCTTGTAAGTGCATTTCCCTTCAGCCAGTAATGTGTTAACTTATTAATTAGAACTGCTGCTGCAGGGTAAAGGAAAAGAAATTAATTCAAGAGCTGCCTTCGCAGGCCAACCTATCTTGGATACTTTACTCACAGGAGAGCTATCTGCAATCCAGTTTTGTTTAATTAGTCCCACAAAAAGCAACTGTTCACTCTGATAAGAGCAGGGCAAGAGCAGGAAAAAAAAAGAAAGAAAGAAAGAAAGAAGGAAAGAAAAAAGCCCCACATCTCCTGTGTGCACCAATTTCATTTTTTAATTACATTCTGACATGAAAAACTGCTTGCTCCTTTCTCTCGCTGGCAAACCAAGAGCATTAGTCATCAGCCACTGTGTTCTTCCTCCTTACTCTGAGTCCGTCCCTTGAGTAGCCATGTTAGTAAGTCCTAGGGCTAGCACAGATCACTGTAAAATTTGCTGTGCAGATTTCCTCATGAATTTACGACCCTGCCACACATTTGCTGAGTGCTGATGCCAATACTGTCATGGTGTCTCTTCATTTTGATGCAGAAGCTCACAGGCTCTAGCAAAAGATTACCAAGGTCCTATCCAAAGAGGTGACAAGTCCAGGCTACTCTGTTTATCCCCCTGCATATTCCTACCACCTGCCTACTTTGCTCTGCCACTATCCAGACCTTTGCATGTTAGAAGCCAAGCATCCATGCATATAAACGGCCTTCTCTCACACATACATCTTTAAACTTTAATTCTTGTGTAGTGCGAGGTGTTGACACATGATAATCAGACTACAGAAATAAAAAGACAAAAGAAGTTATTTCTCTCAGATATAGAAGTATGTCAAGAATATTTCCCTTTCACTCATTCCAAATATTAGGAAGCTGTCTGAATCTCAATACTTCAGAATTTATCTCAGTGACACTAATTAAAATCCTTACCTATTTACATCATATTTTCACTCACTATCCAAATCACAAAAGCAGTTTCCTTTGAACTGTTTGAAATACTTTTTTGATGTAGCAATGTTATTTACTGGTAACTTTCCCACTTCCACAAAAGCAATTAAAACTCATGTTACACTGCTCTACACTAAGCTTTCACATTGAGCAACACTACAAACAACTTGAAACTTATCGTTACTCATCTGCTTCCTTTGCTAAGTTACCAAATCTAGTCAGATCCAGAACACTGCACATCTTATGAAACTATGTGTCTTTTAATAACAAGTCTTTTTTATTTCTTCAATGGCTCCGTCTTCCAGAAATATGTTTTCCCTGACATGCTGACAGAAGGTAAAGCAGAAAAAGAACTAGTGACACTTCACAAAGATTAAAAAAAATATCTGTTTTAAGCAGGAGTAATTTTGCTAGCAACTCAAAAAAAAATAAACTTCATTTATAAAAATAGAAACATCAGCTAGAATAATGAGTTAAAAATGAAGTTCAAAATCATAAAAATGAGCTAGGAAACCAAAGTGTATGTTTCAAGTTAGACTACGCAGTAAGTGATGGTATTCCTGTCATTCCCCATTCTTAAGTGAAGTGACTCTTCAGTTTAAAAAAGGGATTTTAAAGGTGGTGATGGGAAATAAAACTGGCCTAATCACACTTTGATATCATTTCATATAAAAATAAGATCATGATCATTCTGAGTGTGTTTGTTAAGCATACATCTCCCCAACCTTCCTATCCCATATGTTTTGCATCTCTTAGTCAATCCTTTGGGAATATGGAGAATCAAAAACCTCATTCTTTTGTTTGTTTTTTAATACAATTTTTACAAAGTTTTCTTTAACACATGGATGACTGTACAGATGCAAGGGACCACCACCCGCTATATTCAACCCACTCGAACACAGGAAGAGCTGAAATCATATCAAATAAGCTGCCCAAGAGCACTGTGTCCAGCTGTCAGCAGGAGTGCATAGGGGACACAGCCAGGAAGCAGGGGATAGGCCTGGGTGAAACAATACAGGGAGTAATGGGTAGGGATAGAAAGGAGGAGCAAGTAAAAATAAGCCTGCACAGGGAACATGTAGACAGAAACTATAGGGACTGCTGTTGTGGTGGAGGGATTGATATAACAGCAGATCTTTTTTTCTCCCATGAACACTGGGGTGTGAGGGTAACTAGGAGAACAGATTGAAAGGGTAATGTGTTGGTTTTTGGCTTTGGGTTATCTTTTTTTTTTCTTATAAAGCTTAGAAGGAAGATCTCAAGAGCTGTTTTGTTGGCAGACGTGGAAAAAATCTTTTAATGTTAGATAATCAGTTATTGATAAAGTTGGATAAAGTAATGAGATAAGAGGCAAAATACAGAATTAGCCGTTGTAAAATACCATATTGAAAAGGGTAATTTTTATTGGGTAACTGAAAGGCAAAATGTAACAAAGTAGAATCACTTTAAACAGCCCCAGAAGATCTCTTTTTCTTTCCTCCTCAAGATAGACAGAGGCTAAGAGGTCACAGCAGAGAAAAAAATAGCACACAAAAACTCACTGTAGAACAGCTTGACTTCTGCAATTCTTTCCATTTTTCCCAATGATGTAATTGCAAAGAATAATTTAAAACAAAAAAAACAAAAAACCTGGATAGAAATATTGATAGCTTTCTGAATCTTCAGAACTTTCTCAGATGCCTAGGGAAAAACAGATGCTGTTAGAAATGGTGTGTGCTTCTGAGTACGTAAGGGAAGTCATATGCACTTTCCTCTCTAAAGACAATGCTCTCCTTCTCTCTCAAATGGTAACATACTAGCATGATCCCAGAAATATTACAGATAAATTTTGGTACCAGTTAAAAAAATACATTTAAATACTAGATAAATTATTTTCTTCTTAATGAATACATAAAAAATAATGAGTATATCTAAAATCTAAATTACTTTTCTATCCAGGTCTTTATTATTTATTTACTAACTCCAGAGTGAGGTAAATGATCCAGGTGACTTTACAGCTGTGTCACGAGGCACAACTACTAGTTATAGCTCACTGCAGAAAGACAAGGTTGTGCAGCCCCTTATTCCAAGGAAGATCAGCACCTTAATGCCCTCGTTTTTAGAAAGAATCACTTCAAGGTTAGCCAAAGATAGGGAACATAACAAACACATTTACAATAAAAACAAAATACCAAAAGCATGTTTACACTGTTGTGCAATAGGCTATCAGAGAAGGAAGAACTACAAAGGAGTCTGAAGCAAAAGACTGAAAATGCAGCAGTGACTGCAGGAAATACCGAGGTAGCTGTGGAGCTGGAAAGACTGGAGACCCCAGATAAGACAGGGAGGTTTGTGCTTTGTGGGAAAAGCATAAATATAGATTTGGATGGTGGTGGTATCGATTTTGGTCAGTGGACTCTTTTTACACAATTACCATTTCAAAAATCATTTCTACATCATGCATTGCTTTCCAGCAGGTGCTAGCAAAAGCAGTACAATTTAATGCAGAGCCTGATACGCACACACTATTGGAAAGGGTATCAGCCAAACTGCAGCAGCATGTTGTTGTAATAAAATGGTTCTTTCCCTGCCCAGTAAATAGGAGAGCACAAAAAGGGTGACTCGAGATGGAAACAAGTCACCTAAGTATCTTGTGGGACAAATACATTATGTGGTTTGATGAGGTGTGATCATATAGGTGGTCATTTTGGAGTTGTATTTTCTTCTCACTGTTATTACTGTTTGGAGTCTGACTTGTTTTATTTTTGTTTATTTTGCCTGTGCACCAACTGTGAGTATTTTGTATTTGTGTGAGGGGCTCACATTTGGCCTGCAATTTTTCAGGTGGCAAGCAGTCACTCTGAGCCCTGCATGCAATCAGTTCAGCTGAGATGAGTCTTTTTGAAGTTCTGATACATGCCTGGGCTCATAATCACTCCATTTCAAATTTTCAAGTCCTATAAGAGTTCAAAGTTAGTACCACATAAACACAGTGGATGTTTCATGCATGTTGCCTATGTTTGTACAAACCAGTCAACCTATCAAAAAAACACCTATCTTGCTGACTAAAGGGTTTTAGGGGAGACTAATTTTTTGTGGCAGATGTTTGCCTAAAAGAAGTCACTAAAATGTCAGAATGAAGAGCATAAGAAATGCTAGTTAATGTTTAGATAAACCAGATGAAGCAACACAAGAATTAGTAAAGGATCATTTCAAATATCGTATCCCTGTGATAACTGGGCAAAAACTAAATGCAATTCATTTGTGTATGTGAACAGTATTGACACAGGTCTTGTGTAATTAAGAGGGTTACACCCCAAACTAAGGATAAATGTATATATATCAAGCACCAGTTGAATTTTTAATTAAGAAGTAGCTGTGACTGGATCAGAAAGGATTACATCATAATTACAGAAGTATTAGAGGGGAAAAAAAATCCAGTCATTCTAGAATAGTCTCTGTAAAGATTGTTTTCCATGTATTTCCCAACTCCTAGGATTCAAGAAACTAAAAGATTTGTATACAATGATCTATTTTTTCCTATTATTCTCTGCATTTCTGAATACTACAGTAACAAAGGGAAAGGAGACCAAACAGAAAACTTAAGAAAATCAGAAATTTCTGCTAATAGTCTTACCTAATTAAGAATAGCACTCACAAATTCATTTCTCTAGTTCTGAGATGAAACCTAGTGAGTTACAAGATGTCTCAAAGAGGAACGCACATTCAACATCATGGTTTTGGAAAGGGGGAGTCTGGGGAAGGATAAAAGCATCTGATAGCCCTAGCTAGCTTAAAATTTAGCAAGTATTAACGTGCCAATACTTTGCAACAGAGCTTATAAGGTTGTGCTTGTCCTTTAGACATTGCTTAATTAGAATTACATAGATCAAATAAAAACTTCTTACCGATGACTTCCATCAAGATTTGATTTGTGGATGAAATTCAGTTTAGCATCTGCCCAATAAAGTTTCTGTTCTTCATAATCCAATGTGAGTCCATTTGGCCAATAAATGTCCGTGTTGACTATAATGGAGCGGCTTGAACCATCCATCCCAGCACGTTCTATCTTTGGCACTTCTCCCCAGTCTGTCCAATACATGAACCTATAATTATTTTAAAAACAGAAAAAATAAAGAAAGCATAAGTATAAATCTACTATTGGAACATTTAATACCATTTTCATTAAGGTGAAAGCTATCTTTATTCTACAATGCCAGTGTTTCTGGAGCTCTATTTTACTGGGTAAGGTACATATGACCTGGGAATAAAAAAAAACAAAACACCTATCACTTTAGAAAATGAAGGAGAAAAAAAACAAATCCGCAGTACTATGTCACATTATACTTCCAAGCATCTCTTTCTTTCCTCAAGTCAGCTAAGATAGGTAGGCATATCCCACAGATCTTGACAATAATCAACATTAAACAGAAAAGATGGATATTGCAGACTATCATGAAATAATCTCTTTAACAAGAGTCAATGTGGGGGGCATGGCAAAGAAAGGTTTATACCCAACATCTTAGCAGATGTACATAAACAGTTAAGCAGATTTGATGGAAGACCAACTCACATTCTTTTTTTTTCCTCCAGAGAAATCCACAGAAAGGCAGCTAAGTCAACACATTTAGAAGTATAGTTTTCACACACTGAATGGACATAGCTCTGTAAAATCTTTTAAGATTGAGTAAGGGTCATTACTTGGAAATGTATGAGAGAAGGGAATTTATCTGGTTGTGTGTAAGACTGAACTTAAGCAAGGGAAACCACATCATTAAGACTGTACACTGTGGAGGAGGAATAGTATTCCTTCTTTTTCTGCAGGTGGTAGAAGATTGGTTTACTTCTGAGTTGTTAACATAATGCAACACTAAACAAAAACAATTTGTAATATAAACAGATTAGACAAAGTGTGCCAGCGAAGCTTGCTATGTTATGTTGTTGCAGCTGGGCAGACAAAAGTCTACTGTTCTAAGTTGTTTTTCTTAACCCTATGTCATCTGCTGGCATACCTGCCTGTATCTGTGTTCCTTAACCTGGCTCAGTCAAAACAACCCAGACTTGGAAAGGTCTGAAGCTTTAAACTAACCCAGATTGTCACACAACAACAAAATGTCAACTATATGGTGCCCACATGTGAAGAGGCCTGGCCACCCATCCTTTAAAGAAAAGCAAATGTGCAACACATTTAAGCAACATTTGCAGATGAAGTTATTCTTGGCAAAGATTTATTTAAAAAAAAAAAAAGTCAGGAAATTCCATGTCATCTTTTTCCCCTTAATCCATGTCTACAGCTGTGCATTAAAACAAACAGACTATCTGTGGACAGAAATGCAGCTGATGAAAACAAATGTTGTTCTATTTAATACAAGTGAGTCATTCTTTATGGAGAAATATACCTGTATGGCACAGAGAGAGAGCATTTGAGACTGCCGCAGTCATGAATGAATGCTATAGAGAAATCATTTTCCTGCCATGAAGAAGAAAAAAAACAAATGATCTTCAGATAGGCAGCACAGTAGCAAGTTGCCTGGTCAAGCTGCGCAGTAAAAAAAACTACAGACTCAAAAAGTTTTAGAAGTCACACAGCACTTCTCCAAATAGCACGTGTGAGGAAGAAGGGACAATAAGGAAGAAATATTTTTAAACTTCTTTTAAAAGGCTCTTCTTTACCCCAACTTGTCATGCCCCAGACTTCCTGATACTTCTTCAAGGTTAATAGGTTCCAAGGTCCTAGCCACCCTGCTAGACTGATTTTTCAGGCTGAAACAGAAAGCTCATTAGTTGCTGTATAGCCTTGCCTTCTTCCCTGTCTCTCTCTCACCTCTCACACACAGTACAATTAATGAAGAGAAAAACAGGTAAGGGAAGTCTAGCCACAAAGTAGTCTTCCCAGACTACATAAAACCAGCCACGTTTTATTTGTCAGAGGAGGCCACATGCACATAGCATTTGTTTTAAGATTCTGCAGCGCTTCCATTCAGCTCTGATGGCCTCTGCTCCATTTCTGCCACAGCTTTTTCTACTATCTTCTTTCTGTTAACCACCACTCTGCTTAAATCCCATGGTTCTAATGTCTACATTAAAAACCTTTGGAACCGATCATGCTCCAGCTAATGGCATCAAAGCTGTGTTTCACTCAGGAAACTGGGTTTTTCATCACTGTCAAAGCAATCCAGGTGATAGTTTGAAAACCATCTTTTTTCAGTAACAGCAGCCTCCTGGAGAGATCATCTCTTGCTTGCAATACAGTGCTTACGTGGCTATGGAGCAAAAAGGATTCAAGGAACAGGTTTGGGCTAAAATAATCAGCTATCACTCTGAATGATCTCCAGTGCGCTGCAGTGGTCTACAAGCACTTCCACTTGTACACAGGCTGGAGGCCTCTACAGCTGCTTAAATCAGGGGCCAGCAACACTCGCTAAGTTCCCAATTTCAGTTTCTTATTCAGAAAGTACAAGCACTTCCCCACAACAGCTGAGCAAGTGGCACAGGGTGTGGGAGCCAGAGGAGACGAGAAGAAGTGTTTAAAACAGCTATAAGAAATGCAGCCCCATCCCCCCTCAAACCATGCTTGAAGCTACCTGTGATTACTATAAGGAGACCTGGCCAACAGCCAGAGTACAGATGGACACAGCTGTAAACTTTTATTATTGCAGAGGTGCCAGCAGATTTTTCTACAGAGATCTCAAATCATTTTTGCGAGTAACATCAAACTACTCACATCCGTCTAGTGCCAGTTCTCTCTTCTGGATGCCTCAGATTCTTGTAAGATTACATAATGGTTGGTAAGTGAGCCACACAGAGCCATACAGAAAAGCTAAGGATCTTTCTCCCTCCCCTTCAAACATATTTAATTAACACTTAATTAAAAACAATCAAAAACAACAACAACAAAGCAAAGCCTACAGGCTACAGCAAGACATTCACCAATAAGGAACAAGCTCCCCAGAGAGGTTGTGAAGTCTACTTCTCTGGAAATATTCAAAACCTGCCTGAAAGCTTCTCTGTGCAACCTAGTTAGGGAACCTGCTCTAGAAGCCGTGTTGGACTAGGTGATCTCCAGAGAACCCAGAGAGAGAGTCAAATCTCTCTCTAATTGTCATGGTTCAATGTTTTTTTGTTTTGAGGGGTTCGGGCTGCTTCTGAAGTAGTCGGTACTGACACACAGCTCCTTCTGGCACCTCGACTGCCAGTGCTGAACTGGATGTTTAAGGGAAAGGTTCCCTCCACCCATCATGCTACTGATGCCACTTGGAGTAAGTGGATTGCACTGATTACACAACAAGCACGGATGGGGAACCTCAGCCGTCCAGGAATCCTAGAGGTCATCATGGACTAGCCTGAAGGTAAAAAGTTTGGAACACCACCAGGAGAAGAAATAGCTCATGCTAAAGAGGCCCCACCATACAATGAACTACCAGAGAATGAAAAGAAATATGCCCTGTTCACAGATGGATCGTGTCGTATTGTGGGAAAGCATCGCAGATGGAAATCTGCTGTGTGGAGCCCCACACGACAAGTTGCAGAAGCCACTGAAGGGAAAGGAGAATCAAGCCAATTTGCAGAGGTAAAAGCTGTCCAGCTGGCCTTAGATGTTGCTGAACGGGAGAGGTGGCCAATGCTCTATCTCTACACTGACTCATGGATGGTGGCAAATGCCTTATGGGGGTGGTTACAGCAGTGGGAGCAAAATAACTGGCAAAGAAGGGGTAAACCTATTTGGGCTGCTGAACTGTGGAAAGACATTGCTGCCCGAACAAAGAATATGGTTGTGAAGGTGCGTCATGTAGATGCTCATGTGCTACTGAAGAACAGCAAAACAACCATCAGGTAGACCGAGCAGCCAGAATTGAGGTGGCTCAAATAGACCTGGACTGGCAGAACAAGGGTGAATTATTTCTGGCTCGGTGGACCCATGAGACCTCAGGTCATCAAGGGAGAGATGCAACATACAAATGGGCTAGAGACCGAGGGGTGGACTCAACTATGGATGCCATTGCACAGGTTATTCATAACTGTGAAACATGTGCCATCATCAAACAAGCCAAGAGGATGAAACCTCTCTGGGAGGAAGGGCGATGGCAAAAGTACAAATATGGGGAGGCATGGCAGGTTGATTATATCACCTTACCACGATCTCGCAATGGTGAGCATTATGTGCTTACTATGGTGGAGGCAACCACTGGGTGGCTCGAAACATATGCAGTACCCCATGCTACCGCCCGAAACACCATATTAGGGCTTGAGAAACAAGTCCTGTGGCGACATGGCACCCCGGAAAGAATTAAGTCAGATAATGGGACTCATTTCAAAAATTCTCTTGTAAATACTTGGGCCAAAGATCATGGCATCGAGTGGATTTACCATATTCCCTATCATGCACCAGCCTCTGGTAAAATTGAACGATACAATGGATTGTCAAAAATGATGCTAAAAGCACTGGGTGGCGGAACATTTAAGCACTGGGAGAAGCATTTGGCAGAAGCTACCTGGTTAGTCAATACCAGAGGATCTATCAATCGTGATGGTCCTAACCAATCCAGTTCCCTACATAGCGTAGAGGGAGATAAAGTCCCTGTTGTACATGTGAAGAACATGTTAGGAAAGGCAGTTTGGGTTCTTCCAGCTTCTAGAAAGGGCAAACATCTCCGTGGTACAGTTTTTGCACAGGGACCAGGATCCACTTGGTGGGTAATGCAGAAGAATGGGGATGTTCAGTGTGTACCACAAGGAAACTTGATGCCGGGGGAGTGCAGTTACTAATTCTATATATATGCATATAACCATGTGTGTGTAATGCATTTTAATCATTTTTTTTCTTTGTATATATGTATATATATTTTAAGCATGATGTAACGATGTAGAATAAGAGGTGGAATGTCATGGTTCTATGTTTTTTTGTTTTTGTTTTTTGTTTTTTGGGTTTCAGTATTCCACATCAAAACATCATGTAGTGTACGGGGCATTAAAGTGTCACTGCCCCAATCCCAGTACCTATCCCTGTACATTACAGCAGTCACGGGATCTGGCCCTTCCAGGTGGGGGGGGCGCTCTCTTGCTGCCTGGCAGTGGCTGCTGGAGGGTGCTTTCCTGGCCGTTCCAA